TTTAATGTTATAAAAACCTTAACAAACTTTATATTTAACATTATAACTATAATTTCAATATTTATAAAATTAATTTAAATTAATATTAATCTTTTTACATTTGTTAAAACTATTCTACCATTTCTTAAAAATCCTTATAAATTATAATAATTTCTTTTAATAATTAAATTCACCTTCTTAATCAATATTTTTACCTTTATTAATGTTATAAATCGGTTTAAAAATGTTTTTAACTACTTTTCTTTTTCCTTTAACATTTTCAAAAACTTATATATACCTTTATAATATTATAACCATTTTTTAAAATATTAAAATTTTATTATATATTTTTTTATAAAAAATAATATTTTAAATAATTACTTAATCTATTAATATAAATTTTAAAACTAATATTAATATATAAAACCATTTTTAAAAATCTTTAACAATAATTAACCTTAAATATTTAATTTTAATAAAAATAATAAATTAATTAATTATTTAAATTTCCTAACTTTTAAATATCTTTATAAATAATATTATAACCTTTATATAATTATTTTAAATTTTATACTTTAACACATATATATTTAAATAACTTTTTAAAATATTATATATATTTTAAATTATATACTTAAATCATTATATAATTTTAAAATAAAATTTTAATATAATTTAAATAATTAATTATTTTAACTTAATAATCTTTTTTTCTTATTAATTATATTCGTTTTTAATACATATATACACATTTAATTCCTCTAAATAAAATTTTTATAAAACTTTAATCATCTTTTATATCGTTTAAAAAAAAATTAATCATTTAAAATTAATATTATTAATAATTAATCCTTTAATAAAATTCCCATTTTTATTATTACTCACAATTAAAATTTAAATAAATTAAATAATCTTTTATAATTTTAAATTTAAAATATTTAAAAAAAAATTTAAATCAAACCTTAAATTCTTTATATATATTAACATTATTAAAATTTATCCATTTTTAAAATTAATAATTTTAAATAAATAATATAAATATTTTATTCCACATATCCCAATTATTAAAATACTTAAATTTAAAACCTAATAATAATATAATAAAATTTATAATAAAATAAATAAATAAATAATAATTTATTTAAAATTTATTTTAACACGTACATATCGTATTATATAACATTAATTAAAATTTTATCTTTAAAACTTATATAATTTAAACATATAAAACTTTTAATTATTACACTGAACTGGTGTGGTGCCACATCGCCAAAAGCAAGGATATTATTATGTAATCTTAAGTTACAAGCCATATAAAGGTTTAATATTTGTTATATTCTTTTAATTAAATAATTATAATCATTATTATTTAATTATGCATTTAATATAAATATATTTATTATTTTTCCATATTTATAACTTATAGCTTTATTTTGCGTATTTATCTTATATATTTTATCCGATTAATAAATCTTTATAGTTCTTTTAAAGTATAATATTATTATTAGCTATTTAAAGCCTTTTATAAAGATTTAAACGTTAAAGTGATATACCATACTTTATAAGAGATATCAACTCCTGTTTAATACAATTAATATGTATTAAATAGGTATTATATAAAATCTAATTTATTATATTTTTAATAATTTAATTAATTAAAGTAAAATTGTGGGAATGTGTATTACACCATTATTTTACATAAGATTAAGGATTTTCAGGTCACCTGACATGGCTGACTAATTTAACAGGTTTTTAAAGATTTAAAAGTTAAATTTACATTAATCTTAATTTTTATTCATTTTAACCTTAAATTATAAATTTTTTTCAAAATTAATATTTTAAACTTTACTATTAAAATTGTTTTTTTTAAAAGGATAAAAAAGTAAAATTTTAATTTATAACTTTTTATTTTTAAAAATTAATTTTAATAAAAATAAATTATAAAATATATAATAAAAAATTACTTATCATTATTGATTTTTTAATCAATGGAGATATTATTTTAAAAAAATATAATATTAAATTAAAATATTTTTTAACCATTAAAGTTTATCCTATTTTATAATTATTAAAATCTTAAATAAAAGATAAATAAAATAAACATAATAATTTTTATTATATTAATTTATTATTAATTACCGTTTTAAAAAGTAAAATAAAAAAGTTAATATTTTATTTAAATTATTATAATATTAGTTTAAAAAAAGGAAAGTTAAGTATTAACCGGTTACGTTAATATTATAAAAGAAATATTTTTTACACTTGTTTAATTTTAATATAATGCGTTTAATAATGGTTATCCTTATATTAAATTGTTTAAATAATCTTTTAATTTTAAAATGATTATTTAAATTTATAAAATAAATTAAGGAATTAAGAAAAAATAACCCATGATATATAAAGAAAAAAATAATTTAAGTAATAACCTTAAACTATAAAATAATCTTTTATATAAAAAAAACGTTTATAAATACTTTAAATATTTTAAAAAAAAGTTATAAAATTAAAATATAATACCTTAATAATAAGATATATAAAAATAAATAAAATTTTAAAATTTATTATATAAAACTTTTAATGGCTTAATATTAAAACCATTATATAAGATTTTATAAAAAAATATTTAAAATATTAACGTAATAAAATAAATCGATATGTTTTTTATAATTTACACTAATTTATAAAATTATATTATATACCATAATATATTATTATTATAAATTTTATTATTAATTTACTTTTATTAAATAATTATAATTTTATTTAAATTATAATTAATCCATTTACCAAAATAACACATTTTATATCTTTTAAAATAAAAAAGAAAAAAATTACAAATTTAATTAAAATCTTTATTAAATTTTATTAAAAATTATATAAAACTTTTTTAAATATTATTTTTAATTAAAACTTTAAATTTACTACCCATTTATAATAAATTTTTTTTTAAATTTATAAATATTAAGTTATAAATAAATATAACCTTTAATTTTTAAATTAATAATTAAATAAAATAATTTAATTAAACCTTTAAAATCTGTTGAAATATGGGGAATAGCCAATTATGTAAGCTAGTCACGTGCCACCACGTGCGTGGGGCTAAGCCTAAAAGGGTTTACCTTTTAAGCTAACCCACACACACATAACTTAATAACAAGTAACAACAGATCGTGATAGCCTCATTTTAATACCGTGTGTTTTCCTTCCTTTTCTTTTGCCGTACGCTTATTGGTGTACACTTAATCCTTACTTAATTATTACCTTATACCTGGTCTTTCCTACAAAATCTACTTTTAAATATTTATTAATTATAAAATAATTAATTGGAAAAATTTATTATTAATAGTAAAATTTATATATAATAATTTAAAATTAATATTATTATATATAATACCGTTTTATGTAAATTACAGTTTTCATTTTATAATTTATAATTTACTTATTAACATTTTTTAAAATTTAAACAATTAATTATATATATTAAATAAAATAAGTTTACACCGAAATATAATAATATTTAAAAAAAAGTTATTAATGTATAAAAGATTAAATTAATAAAAGAAAAAAAAAAGTATTAAAGTTTAAAAAAGGTTAACTAGTTATATTAAATAATAAAAATATTAAAACAAAACAATTTGTTAAAAAATTAAACAAAAAGATATTAAGTTTTTTTAAAATTTAAAAAGTAAAGAATTTATAATTTATTTTACGCTTTATTTATTAAATCTTACCGCATTAACAATTAAATATTATTTAATCTTAATTAAATTTTACAAGAAATAACCCCGATAAAATTTAAAGAATATTATATAAATAAAGTTAAAAATTTTATATAAATTTAAAGAAATATAAAGTATTTAATTAAATAAGAAAATTAGTTAATTAAAAAATATTAAACTTAAAAATTCTTTAATTATTTTAATAATAAAAGTATTAAATAAATAGTTTTAACATTTTATTAATAAAATTTAAGAAAGTCGGTAAATTTTTAAGTTTTATTAAAAAAAATTATACTTTTTACTTAAAACTTTAACTTAAAAACAAATTTAAAGAAAAAAGAAATAATATTATATAAACAATAATGTTAAAAAATTATTAGTTAAAAAAATAATTAATAAAAAATACAAAATAATTATTTTAAAATTTATTAAATAAGGAATATTATATAACCATACAATTATATACAAGTAAAACCAACATATCGATAAAAATTTGGCTAAACCGAAAAATATGTATTTTAAATTGTTTATAAATAAGTTAAAATTTCCTTTTGGAAAGAAGGGAAAAACTAAAGACCTTAAGACCCTAGAAAATTATTAGTAATCCTAATTATATTCCAAGCCCTTTACAGCCCTTGTTACACTAATTCAGGCTGCACTAACTCGCAACCCAAAGCGGGAGAGATCTGTCATAACATGGAACAAAACTTACTCTGTAAAAAACTTCAACCTAACTACCAGTCTACGTTACTGAAGCGGCTAACAAGTTTCAAAGCCTCCAGGTCAACCCCGACAAAACTAAGAAACGAGTACACGACAACCGAGTACGCGACAAACATAACTACCTACTCACCGAACAGACAAAAGATACACGTCCCACCCCTATAAACTTTGACCCCGACGCTTAGAAGAGATGGAGACTTTCTAAAATTATGTCGTTAAAATTCCAGGAGGCCGAAATGATTAAAGGGGTCGACGACACTGGGAGTAACTAGGAACTAATAAAAGAACTCGAACTACTCCGTAAAACAAAAAGTAATCTAGAGGAGAAGAACACCAACGTATCTAAAAAGTTAAATGAAACGGAAAAAGAGCTTCAATCCAAAACCGAGGAAGCTAAAAGCAACTCTCTGGTGTGGTTGGCTGCGAACAAGTTCGGGGAGGAAGTTGAGGCCCTAAAGAATAAGGAATAACATTCGACTTACCAAGGCTACATGGGAAAGGAGGACAAGCTGGCGAAGGGCTCGAGGCGGATACTGAGGAGGATAAAGCAAAGCGAGCAACGAGGAGAATATTAAAGCGATGACGGAGGCGTACGGCGAGCTTCCCGTCGAACTTCGCATATTAGCAAGAGACGACCCCAAGAAGGTGAAGAGGATGGCCGACAACTCCAAAGCTTACATCGCTATGCACAAAGGCGCCCTCGAATCGATGGAAGAACTTCTCGGCTGGACCTCGGCCAACAAAGCCCAGGTCGGCCAAGGGCAAATTGGGACCCAAGCGTTGGAAGACGAGTTCTAGTAGGGCCTAGCTTAGGATCCCTACCTAGCCTATATAGAAGGCAGCAGCCTCCCGAAGTCTAATGAGCGATACATCACCATGTGGAAAAAGATATGCCGCCTGAGACGCGTATTCCCGCCCAGTATAATGTCGCCCGTTAGGTACCTCGAGTACGACGCCACCGCCCGCGTGCAGCTCTCCGACGGCAAGACCAAGCCGGACCTGGTTTGGTTGTCGTCGTTCTGCGAGTCTCTGTCGAGGCTGGCGCTCGGAGGTTCGTGGGGAGACAGCATGGAGCTTTTGGCAGCGTTTGTGCGGTACGCGTCGGCTTGTCGTATAGATAATCGCCGCGGAGGGGAATAGTAGCTTAGAAAAGAGACGTTTGGGGCAGACGCTTCCGTCGGATAGCCCAGCAAGCTCGCCGGTCTGAGGGGGCTTGGACTCGGACGACGACGATATTTTCATATTCCCCCCGTTTTAAGACAACCCAGATTTGCCGAAGAAAATGGTAGACGGGGTAGACTCCACGTATAGTGCATGGGGATGGGGAGGCTTAGAGATGCTAAACTTAAACTACCAGGATAATGACCAACCTACGAACATGACGGATATGGATTTCTATGAATCAGACGGAGAAGGCACAAGGATCTACTTCAACAACGCCGACGAAGAGGTGCGGGATGGGTCTGACGATCACGCAACCACGTCTCGAATGTATAGAGACATTAATAGTGATAGTGATAGTGTAATAGTGAGAGTGATAGTGAGTAGTCCTTTGGGGGGTTAAGTAATAGAAATGTCAGGGGTTAAAGTCTTCATAACGCGATTCCAACATGATCATCTCTTCACGTAGCTTGGTAGCTTGTAAGGGGTAAGTACGTAGATGTATGCCTCAGCCTGTTCAGTTAATTAAAGAAGACGTCTACCTGGACGTGCAGCATACGGCAGCTAATCTGGTGGTCATGTGAGGTCTTGTATTCTGGTAAAAACGAATTGCGCACTTATTTATTTATTCTTTTTATCTTTTTTAAAAATTCAGTTTTACGTGTCCTGTCTCCTAATCCCAACATTACCGTCGCATCATATCCACCCATACGCCGCCAGTAACGAGAGTCTTCTAGTTTTATCTTCTATCTTTCCTCTTTCCTCTCTTCTCGTCATGTCATCCAGCTGGGAGATGAGCGCGGCGCTCTCCGCGGAAGAGCAGAAACGTCGCGACGCCGTCTTGGAGGCCATCATGGACATCACAAACTACGAAAAGGCCTTTATCGAAAGCTTCTTTAAGAGGAGCGAAGACAAGGTTGCCGGCTATCTAGCCAGAAAAGACTTCCTGCCGACGTTGTCGGCCAACTACTTCTCCTGGTCCGTCGAGAGACACCTTTGGGCGGCAATCGGTAAGTGCGCTTCGCATCCTAGCAGACGTGGCACTGACAAGAGAGTCTCTTAGTCCGCGAGAAAGAGGACTCTAACAGTCCAAAATTCCCCTTCGCCGCTGCTCCCGACAAGTACGGTCCGCCGTATAGCGAAATCTTTATATCCCACCTCGCCGAGAAGGGCGCCGAGTCCGACATAGCCGGCAGACTCCGCGAGCTCGAGCACATCGCCTTCGGACAGCCGAGCGGCGAGCAGCGAGAGACGCCCGCCGGGCTCAAGCGCTACACCGAGTTTCTCAAGGCGCTTTGGACGAAGATGTTTGGCGTACGTGACTAAGAGAAGGGCTGCGACGAGCCTTTTGTCATCCGCTTCCTCTGCAACGACGGCGTGAACTACTTTCACGAGTGCATCGCTCGCGACCCCGACGAGACCAATACCGTCGCGCAGCGTACCGCCTTCCTCCTCGGTGGTCGGGAGGTCGCCCTAATCGTTATCACCAACGACGAGAAGCAAGTTTTCCTCGCCCTCGACTTCGATAAGAAAGGAGAGAAGGAGAATCCTGCGGTCCAGTACCGATTCCAGAACGCCTGGCTCGACCTCCTTTGCCTGAACGTCCAATGGCTGAGCGGCAGGAACGTCAACATCCTTACCTACCTCGACGAGCTTAACGTCAACCACCTCGGAGCTCGATTCCTACACGTCGCGGCGGGGACGGAGAAGGAGCTCCTGGCGCGCCAGGATCGTATACATAATGAAGTACGAAAGGCGCGCGATCTTCGTCCCGACGATCCCGAGCGGGCTGTCATCCTGCTGCGCTTCCAAGACCGGCAGGTCCGCGCCGTCGCCAAGCGCGAAGCCTCCATGATAGTGCCTATCGGGGTATCTACTGCAAACTACGATGCCAGCTTCGCCAGAATAGTTAGCCTCGTGCGAGACAAGCGCTTCTGCTGCATCCCCAAGGATGAGCTGATAGCCATGGTCGAGACGCAGGCCATCAACCTCGTCTCTCTCCACGTCAAGATGAGCCTAGATCGTTCCGAGAGCCCGCGCGAGTTCGAGCTACGTACGGTTAAAGATCACCTTATTTCTATAGCGCCATAGGAATGCGCCACAGCACCAGCCACCCCCTTTATTTCAATTAATAAGCAAAACAACGACATTTGATTCAAAACACTTGCATCAGGTAAAGCTGGATAAGTATTACGCAAAGCTATGCTACTCTATGGCAAAATATTGACAGCAAGAGATATTAACAGCAATATGGGCAGCAAGAAATACGAGTGCCAAAATACAAACTACCAGCCTTTGCTATATTCTTACACGTCAAGCAAGTCGGCGACGTCCTCGTTAGAATCGCTTACAGTGTTTCTTCGCTCGTTGTTGTTGTTGTCGTCGTCGTTGTCGTCGTCGTTGTCTTCTTCGTCCGAGGACAAGTCGGAAATATGCCTTTCTCGGCCTGGAAGAAGCTGTCCAACTCGGCCAGTCTTTGTTTCACCCTCTCTTCTTCCACCCTGCGCTCGGCGATCATGTCGTGGATTTTGGCGTGATATTCCTCGACCTTCTTCTTCAACGCCTGGATTTCTGCCAGACCTGCCCAGGACTCGTCGTCGGACATGAAGGAGGTTCTGAGCGTTTCGAGGGTCCTTAAATAAATATCCCTATTCGTTCGGATAGCTAGGGTTTCCTCGACGTTGGTCATGAACTACGGGCGTTCTAGCTAGACGTGCTTTTTATTGTCGAAGTACACATCTTCGTCGTCGTCGCTTAATGTCGACGATGTCCCGGGCTGCCCATCGTTGAGCCCGTTGATGGTAATTAGGGACTGGGCAAGCACCGTTACCAGCATCTCGGCTAGCGGTATCTGAGATTGCTCCCACGCCATGACCATAGGGATAGTGTGCATGATCGGCTTGAGCCCTATGTATTGTATGCAAGATACTAGCAGCTTCAGGGTGTCGGGTGACTGCGACATGTTGCTGTAGTCGGGATTGTGCTGCAGCGACTTCGAAGGAACTCGACGGCCGCACTCGACGTAAAGAGGACATGAGAGTTGATGGACTTCTCCGTCAAAGTTTGCGTTCATGCGTCTGCCGAGCATGGCTATGAGCTCGTCCAGGTTGCTAATCTTCCCCTTTGCGCACCTAGGTTACATATATTCGTCTCCTACCTCCCACTTTTCTTCGTCGAAAAGCATCACGTTGTCGATGGTGAGGGCTTTTCGCAGGGCCGACTCTCGCGCGCGGGATAGGTCGTCTTGGCTAAACGAGCCCTCTCTTTCTATTTCGCACCAGGCCCCCCAGTCGGCTTTGTAGTCTCGCAGGCCACGGACGAGCTTCTCGATCTCGTTGCGGCTCAAAAAGGCTCCGCGGCGGTCTTCGATCGAGACGGTTACTACGTAGATTCCGGGTCCGTCTTGGCTATAAATATTTTCCCAGTTGGGCGAGTTCTTGTCATATAAATCGTGGGGCAGCGTGCCTAGGAGCAGGGATCTTAGCGTCTTCCGATTAAAGGTATGGAACAAGAGGCGAAGCTGAGCTTCATCTTCTAAAGCGCTGATGGTTCTGCTGCTGGGGATGGCGTTTTGGTTGCGCCACTCCCTCGCCATGTCTACGACGAGGGGAAACAGCATTTCTAGCGTGTCGCCGTTGTCCAGGCCTTGTACAATCTCCTTAGCAAGTCGCCCGCAAACGGGTAACTCGGCGCAGACGACGGGACGCAAATCATCGGAATCCATAATGCTCGACTTACGGCAAGTCTATTGTGCGGTAGGTATCGTAATTGCTGCAATTGTCGTCGAGGTGAAGTAGACGACAACATACAAAAAACATGAGGAGAGGAAAAAGTTGCGTATCAAACTACGTACAGGTGGGCCATATTTTAAAACCAACCTAGCCGCACCTTCCTCTGTCGATAAGTACCTAACGTACCTAGGTACCTATCATGTTAGGTGCTCGCAACGTATATCGTCCAATACTTGTACCTACCTACGTCTTCATAGACTGTATAAGCGTTTGAGCTGGGAGAAGTTCGTAAAGAGAAATACGACATGCTAGGGCGTCGCCTAGCTCTACTAAGGGATACGAGCAGATTAGAGATTTCGGATTAATAATACTCGGACATGGGTTGGCAAATCGATCATTCCACGTTCATCTCTAAACTATCCTATAGCTAGGTACTAACATTAGACACTTATCATGCTATCCTCTTTCTCCTTTTTGGTTCTCGGCGCGACGCGAAGCTTGAGTCAAGAAGACTCGATTCCATTCCTAAAGCAAAAGCAAAGACGTTGATAACTAATCTACTCGTCGTTAGGGTTTCCATTCAAGTATTCGTATAGTTCCTCGTCGAGTTCCTCGGCCGTTTTCTGGTTCTGCTTAGTGCCGATGCCGGTATCTGTATCGGCATCGGCATTGGTGTTAGCATCCGGGTTAAGGTTGGAGCTGACGTTGCCGCTACTCTCCTCCGGCGCAGCTGCCCTACTAGTTCCGGCGTATTTGTTATTCCAAGAACGGGTCTGGTTTACCAACTCCCTGATGGGAAATCTCGAGTTGAATCTCGCGAGCCTATATCCTCGCATATCGAACATTGCCACCGTTAACCGCATAGGCCTAAACACATTATTGTTGGTTTGGAGGTGGTGTTCGAGGATCTTGGTGGTGGCGCGGTGGTACTCCTCCTCGTTAGCGATGTAGTGGTGCGCCTCCTTGCTAGTGACTGACTGGACAGTGGGAGCGTGGCGCTTCGCCGCTGGGGTCTCAGCCGAGCCAAGAATCAGGGCGTTACTGCTGGTCGCGTTGGCATCGCCGCTGCCACCGTCGTCGTTGTCGTCGTCTCTCTTCTTCTTGCTGTTTCTGATAATCTCGTCAAGAGACGCGCTAAGATTAGACATGGGACGAGGTTTATCGGGGTATATGACGCGGTCTTCTTCCTTGTCCGACATTTTGACGCGTTATAAAGGGGGAAGGAGGGGGGTGGTTATTGCGGTTAGGAGGTAGTTAGTTGGTAGTTGGGAGGTCGTTGGAAGACTTATCGTGGAAAGGAAAGAAAAAGAAGAACTGTGAACAGAATTGGAAATATATCACGAGAGTGGGGGCTAAGCGAATCTGATTTACCTACCTACCTAGGTACCTACCTTATAGGTACTTCAAGATGCACATTTAGGGGTTGCAGGTCTTTCGGCAGCTTCAGCGCACCTACGAGTACGTACTTACCAAAGAGGGAACAAGGCTATCCGCTTTGAGTTATATGATTTGTTTAGTGAAATTCCGAGATCGACCTTGAGCCGTGATTAGAATATTCGGTATTCATCTCCGATTCGAAGCCGGCATCGTAGGGTTAGATGCCATTTATCTTTATTGGTCAGGGGTTGGCCATTTACTACGTGATACTTCAAGGTACAAATCTTCGCGGATATATCTAGCTTAAAGTCTCCCGGATAGCTTTCGACATACTTGCATATCAGGCTCTATAAGGATAAGGGAGTATCTTGGAATTCGGTCAAAAGCCTAACTAGACTAATCTGAACCAGATATCAGACCATCTGTACATAGAGTCTGAGTCACTCTATAGATCTATGGCAGACTTTTAACTTGGCAGCCTTGTTGAAAACCTGTCAGTTATACACGGAGTGAATTTCAGGATAGATTAAACCAGTAGCACCTGGCCTTTACCATCTTATCGCTACGCGCCCCTTACATAGACCTTCATAGTCTAGCAAAGTCGCCCCGTCCAGTCTTTCCGTCCCGTCTTTGGGACTATCGTAAACTTCGTCGTCGCTCTTGTTGATATTAGGGTATACAATCCTATGGCCACTGCCAATGCTACCTCGCCGTTGCCTTTAACTTCCTGAGTGTGACTATGTTCTCAGCTTAGAGGCACCGTCTGTCACACGGATAGCATGGTCAAGAACTGTTGGCTGCAATACGAATGCGGCCAAGTACCAGTAGAGCGGTTAGGATAACTATTCTAATAATCACTGGATGAGTCCTACCACGAGGATATACTGGGAGAACCAACATATGATTTAGTACGACGCTTAGGTCTTATGGTACGTACTATAGATTGTCTACAAATAGGTCTGACTTCTCTAGAAAGGAGGGAACCAAGAACCTTGAGACCCTATAATTTGAACCTACGTTCCAAGCCCTTACAATCCTTGTTACACTGTATGAACTGTACTTTCGTGGAAGAGTATAGTTCCGGCTGCCTCGACTTATCAGATCCCTAACATCCATGGTGTCAGTGTATCTCACAAGAATTTCAAATGGTACTGTGTCACTAATTACTCACGCGATAGGATACCCTAAGTATGTGAGAGGCACGTCTATGTATTATGTTCAAATGCTCAAAGGCTGTATTAATGTGCCCATGTGGCATCACGCCTTCTGGACTTCCCTAGCTATACAAAAGTGGCTCGACGAACATATTAGCTGCCACGTTATTCAGGTTCTATGAGTTAAGCTACTTGACTTTAACTTCCCGTGTTTTGACCCCAACGTCCAAAACCGCTACCGAAGCTTTATGACGTGTTGGTACCAACTATCTTTATTACCAGCTTGATCTTGCTAGAGAAATTCTTGGGCCAGTTGGCGATTTCGGGAGCTGCAACCAGACAGGGATTTGCCGGTGCTGGAATGTAGAAGAGCATGTAATAGCCCGGTTGTCCCAGGTTTTAAGATCCATGGCCGTACTCGAATCGAGACGATGATCAGAATTCTCTGCCGTCTAGGCCATAACGCCGCTCCAGATCTCGGTTGTTACTAGCCGAGCGCAGTTTGACAACTACGGTAAGAGTGTAGCAGATCGAGTTATTTTTTAGTCTTTTTGATCTTCATAATTTTAGGGTTAGGGTTAGGGTTAGGGTTAGGGTTAGGGTTAGGGTTAGGGTTAGGGTTAGGGTTAGGGTTAGGGTTAGGGTTAGGGTTAGGGTT